TTAGTAATTTTGAAAATATATTAAATATTAATTTTTTTTAAATATATAAAAATAAGTAATCTAAAATGAAAAAATTATATTGGTAATATAGAGAGGAGTATATTACATTAATAATATATTGTGCCTCCATTACATTATATTTATTAAATGAAGAATGAGTGATATGATAAACGTATAATATTTTAATATTCCAGAATGGCAGAAATGGACGGACAGGAGGAGCGCAAAATTACTGGAAACAGATCCTGTAGCCCTTTAAGCCAAGATTTCAGAAGCCAAGATTCTGGATTCTCCGATTCCGAAAGATCAGACTGCTCAGAAGCATATGAAAACGTGACCCCACGGCGGAAATTGAGAAGAAGAACGAGGCGACAGAGGAGGATGCAGTCGAAGGGAATTGCCTCGTCGTGGTTAGAGGAGGGATCTCCCTCGATGCCAAAGCACACGTCCACGCCGAAGCATTCCAGGACATTCGTGAAAGATCGTTTCAAGCAATCCGCGAGGAGTCTATCACGGGGAGAAAGGTGAGCGAATGGAATATAATTTTATCTAATCGTGAATAGAGAAGGAAAATATTAAAGCTTCCCATTGATAAAAATTTAAAGTAGCTAACGAAAGCCCATCGCGTGAATCATAGGTATTTAATGAATGATTTCACTTCATCTCGTTTCATAATTTTACACGTTGTCGAATCGGACAACATGTAAGAACAATCGATCCTGATTCAGCGCGTGTTTGGAATTCCATGGAAAAAACTGCGCTATCGATATTACTGGAATGTACATTGCGGTAATGTTTACCTTGGGAATTGTGTCACGCCTCGCAATAAAGTCGAAGAAGAAACATTTCTTTGGGAAACGTGGCGATAAGATTAAAGAAATGAACCAATCTCGATAGCAATGCGACACGTCAATTATCTTGTCGCGCTCGTTCCTTTCTAATAATAAAAAAAGATATATATACATATATGTATGTGTAACACGCGTTGATGGTGTCGTAAGCAATGACACATGCTTGAGAATCGTTTCCTCTTCTTCTCACCGATCATAATATCCGAGAGATGCGTCAGAGACTCGAGAGTATCGGATGATTATCAGTCCTTGAATCATAAAGGTGTTTCGGCTTATCGTCGGGCCATTGTATGCGCATCGCGCCTTCCCTCTTGTGTGCACAAATATCCGATCTTTTATGGTGTAACGAGAGATATATGTTTTCAAATCTCGCTATACAACTCTCGATGTTGATGAATGTATGAAATATACGCCGCGATCTCGGTTTCCCTCTTGCCTCCGGACAAAATGATTATTTATCAGATCGCGTATCCGCTGTCGCGATTTGATTAAAGAACACCGGCGATCGTACCAGCTATGCTAATAACGCAATCATGTAAATCGTGCCGGAAACATATATGCACACACATGATTGAAATTGCCGTATCCCGAGTATAACAAGCTGCGAAGCTGAACCCATATAGAAAAAAAAAGTATTCGACTCTGATTGAATTCATGAAATACGTTTTCTATATCAAGCCTGCGTTTATCTCTACAATTCGAGATAAAAGTTTATTTAAAATTTTACACACGCGTCCTATATCCTGCGCGCGTCTCTCATAAAAAATAAAACAAAGTTCTGTCGCGAATTACATGTAGCGCAAAAAGCACAAGTTTTTGATTTTTAGTGTTCGACCGGGTGTTGAGCTCGCGTTACGAAATCAGGATCTAAACCAACCACCGGGTACCCTCGTGCAGACGCATTTTTCCGTTAGTCACCGTGTTCCACTCATGCCGTACGTGACTCAACGCAACAACGTGCCGCGCGAGAAGAATACGTAAATGAATGAACGCGTGAGAGGCTGGCTCGGGTAACCGGTGAGGTCGAAGTCGACCGTGCGGCTCCTTCGACGGCGCGCGACAGCGAATCTACGAGGAATTCAGCTTTATAACGCGGTGCACAGGTGGACGCGTTATAATACAACAACGCGACATTAGTCATCACGTGCAGTCGCGCTCTCGAGGAGAGCTCGGGGCGATTAGTCAGCTCTCGCATTCCACTAAATCGCCCCCGGCTGTCGTTTCCGGAAAAAAGCGATCAGCGATAGATTCCGAGTATATTGCTTCGTGATGCGAGTTTCGCGAGAGTAGCAGAATGATAACAATCGTGCCATGATTGAGACGAAATCTACGTCGAATCGCTATGGCTCGTTTAAGGTAGCGTAATTCAAGAATGACGAAATAGATATTCGGATAAGAAGAATATCTTTTAAATAATATTTTAAAAATAATGTTTATATATATATATTTCTTTTTACAAAAACTTACCAAAACTTTTATATATTCCCTTTCTTTTCCAGGATCAAAGAGGAGCGGAGCGATGCGTCAAAAGTATCCGTTTCACTGGACGACGAATGTTTGGGAGATTTTCTTTACGCATCCGAACCGCCGGAGGATAGCGTTCAGCTGTCTTCGATAACGAAATCGTTTAGCACAGACTCCGCGGCAGACGCGATCGCTGCCGGCAAGGAGGTGCTGAATTCCAGAAATTATCGTCAATCGTCGTCCATGAGAGCGTGGTTGACCGATCTCGCTATGGAGACCGAAAACGAATGCAGCAGTACACTGCAGAGCAAGAATATTCCGCGAAGCAGGATGGCGTTTTCCGGCGGGATTCACGCGCGAGATCTCAAAATGTTGTCCTCTGCAGCTGCCGCTGCGAGCAAGCTCCTAGTCAGTGCAAAACGTTTCGAGCAACATTATCACAGCATCGTCGAGTGAGTCCGATTTCTTTAATTCTTCATAGGTATTATATTGAGAGATGCACGGATATAAAATCAGACGCACTATAAGAAAATCAGAAATAAAATCGTTCATATTATACTGTATAAGAATAATAGGATCTTTGCATAAATATAATTAATAATCAATTTTATCTTACGTTAATCATTATTAGGAAGATAACACGGTTGGAAGGCGGCAAGTCTGAAATGGAGCTGCTTCGCAGCATAGAGGAGGCCGCTTTCTCGATCCTTTCTCAGTTAGGGGCACCTCCTCCTCGCAGGATTCAGCAAGGTAGTCTGAGGAGCATACTCGCGCAGTTGCAAAGTATGAAGACATACGTCGACGGCACTATCGACACGCGTTTAGACTTCTACATCGAGGTTGGTAATTTTATATTTTTGTGGCTTATATTCATCGAAATGATAATCGTGGATTAATTGTGTATAAATAATTTTCATAGAAAATAGTCCGCGGTCTGGAAGAGACTCCACGGCAAGACGACAGCGTAGCTAGAGGAGCTCTAGCGGCCCTTTCGGCTTTAGGATCATCGAATCTTCGCGCAGAAAGCAGCATAGCCCGATGTTCCGGTATAAGGGCTCTCCTGACGTGTCTTATCGACGGCGATCGAGCGCCTTCAAACGACCTCGTCGCTATCACATTACGCGTTCTAGCCAGCATATGCAATTCCGCGACAGCGATCGAGTACTTTGCTCGAGACGGCGGTCCCGAGATTTTGAGTGATCTCCTAAACATAGAATCCTCTTCCGAAAGGGAAAAGACTGAAGCTACCGCCTTAATAGTGCAGATCACGGCACCATGGACCGACGCGCGGGGTCTGCCATGTCTCGAGCCTTTCGCGAATTCTTTAATTCCGGCGTTGAACCGATTAATCGAGGGCACTGATTGCGTTCAAACATTGCTGCTAGCCGCCGCGGCGCTAAATCACTTGTCCAAGTCGAGGCTATGCGCCGAGATCATACTGCAGCAGGACAGTGTGAGGAAACTCTTGCGAAGCGTGAAGAAATCTGTCGGCAATAACGTCTGTTTGATGGAACAGGTCGCCGCACTAATTGGCGAATTGGCGCGCGTTCCAGAAGGTCGGTCGCATCTGGCTGGAGCGCGAGCCTCCGTGGCGCTGGTCTCCTTTCTCCGTATGAGACCACCGGGTTTGGAGGACGCATACCAAAAGCTGGAGATTACCGCGGCGGCCGCGCTGACCAGACTCTGCGTGGAACCGGAAATTGCGAGGCAAGTGATCGCAGTCGGTGGCGGAGATTGTATGACAGGATCATGCAGAATCATCAACAACATCCCAGCAAAGGAGGAGGAGGAGGTGCAGGTCGGAGCAGGTTTCTTAAAATACACCAGGTCGTTGAGACGAGCGTGTAAGAAGGCCGCACAGCAAATCAGAATTGCAAAGGCAAAGGATCACAGCACGCTGGACTGAGGAAAAAGGTCTGGAAAAAGGAAAATCTATTATGATGGAGAGGTTCATACAATTCCAAATTGCGAGATATAGCATAGTACGACAAAGAAATCTGTATATATATGTTTTACATATTTTATAATCACGATCTCTATGTAGTTATATTTTATATTTTATTATAAGAATAATATGCAGAAAGCAAGTATTTTTGTTAAATATGTACAAATATATTTTATTCTATGCATCCTATATCGCAAGGATGAGAATATATATAAAAATATGGATGCCTTATCACTATCACACGATAAATGTGCCATAATATATGTATATACATATATGAAATACATTAATGAAAACTGTATAAAAAATATTAACCATTTTTATTGTCAATTGATATTGTGCTCTATCTTGTCTCATTTTGAAGTTGATTCTTGTGAAAAATGTCTATGGTAGTCTCCAAGCATGGTCTTAATTCTAGATCACATGAGCCAAGAACGAATTTGCCCTCTGGTGCTTTAAAATAGTCTAATCCACGCCCGATTTTTACCACCCATCCATTACTCAATCTGTGAAACAAAAGGATTACCTATGAAAGAATGTAGGGACAAAATTTTCAATGTAACATTTATGTTATCAGCCTTACGTAATTTGTCTGTCATGCAACGTTTCAGAAAAAGAGAAATCAAAGGAGATCTTGCGAAATGCTAAACTTTCCTTCAACTCAGCCAATCTAGTAATTTGATTAATTTGATTAGATTCTTCCGGCTCGTAAGTTGTAAGCAGGGATATTCTGGTCAATGCGCAGCACTTTTGGACAGCCAGCTCGCATAGTCTAACCAGATTCTGACACTGTAGACGAAATACTGCAATTAGTGTAATAATTTCTTAAGATAATCTATAGGTTGTTAGGAAAAGATGGAAAATTTTGCAGGCCAATAATAACAATAATAAAATTGTTGTATTCATCTTATTAAGTATGCATTTCTGTCATTCTATTTATAAAATTTTTGTTCTTTCATTGGACCATCTGAATAATTTTCTTTAAAGAAACTTCTAATTAAAGTTTAAACGACAGACATGAATATAAATTACATCATTAAAATTGCTATTTATTCTGAAAGAATTTTGTGAAACTGTGTTGATTATATATATATATATATCGAGAATGGATCAACGGGACACGGCTATGCGAGTGTTTTCGGCAGATTCTTGGACGGTACTGTCACATATATCAACATCGAGGATCCATATATACGAGCCTTTCACCAGGTATGTATTTGTTTTGTGCGTCTCATTTCATTATAGAATATTATAAGATAGTTTACAAGGTTTGAAAACTTTGCGAATATATAGTTTTTGCTATTGAATACAAAAAGAGTTTATATATATATATATATATATATATAAACTCTTTTTGTATTCAATAGCAAAAACTATATATTCGCAAAGTTTTCAAACCTTGTAAACTATCTTATAATATTCTATAATGAAATGAGACGCACAAAACAAATACATACCTGGTGAAAGGCTCGTATATATGGATCCTCGATGTTGATATATGTGACAGTACCGTCCAAGAATCTGCCGAAAACACTCGCATAGCCGTGTCCCGTTGATCCATTCTCGATCTTAGTCAATTCCCTGTATATGCCGGCCGATTTCCTCTCAATAATTAGTTTTTTCACCTTCTCGGCTCTGCCCAGATACTCCTTGGCTTTGGACGTGAGATACTCCACCTTGTAGGCTTCCTTTGTCTCTACATCGTTTTATTATCGATTCTTGAGCTTCTTGGCGAAAGATAGTGACAATAAAGCTAATATAGCATTTTTAATGTGATAGAGGTTTTGTGTGAGAGAAAGAAAGAAAAAAAGAGGGAGAAAGAAAAGCGTAAAAATATCATACCTTTTACAGTGTCGAGAAGTATCTGTACGCCTTCCTGATACAATACCAATGCCATTGTGAACTGTTCCTTCATATCCATCTCCACTGCACGTTTTAGGACTGAGACCGCCGCAGATTCCATTGTTCCATTGACAGATAATCGAAACTCTCCTGGAAAAACTAAACCACGTTCGACGATCGCGTCACAGACTGATTTTTATTGCTTCCCTAATCTCTACTGATTATTATCTTTATGCGCACAATAGCACGAATGGATATGCGCTGCATGCGAAACGATACATACATTATCACAAGATTCTCGAGACGAGCGAGTGAAGAGGCTCCTGACGTTTGATAGTTCCGCGCGATTAAACGCGCTTTGTTTGGCACACGCGTTTAGCAGGTTTATCTCGTTTCACGCGTGCTTTTTTTTCTTCTTCCGTTCACGTTCAAATTTCAAATATATCGAGGAGTCGCGAGTCTCTCGCGATTGCTCGGCGAATCGTACTGTCCGAACATGGCGCTGCACCGTGACGTATATATACATAAACGATTTTAACCTAGCTAGTATTGAGAATCATCGCACGAATACAACATGCTTGTTAACGAAATGTGAAATCGTCTCGCGATCGCTCGACGCGCGAGGATTATACTATTTAGGGAAGAACCTTACGCGTCACGCTCGCTCATCCGGTAAGATGGGGGAACTGCTGACTGCGGATTTGGAAAAATCCCAGCACTCGCGTGTGTATCGTATGTTTTTGACGATACGAAAGACTACGTTTCGCTGACGCAATACCACGTGACTGCCCGTTACAGACGGGCGGGAATTTCCAATGGATGTCATCCAATTGTCATTAAATACGATTTCGAATTAAAAAAACTCTGCTGACACAGAAATGTATTTTCCAAATCCATTTTTTGCTATTTTATGAATCAAAAATATTCTTATAGTGATTTAGTCAGCGCATACATGTAATAAATTATTAAATTATACCTGTGTCAGTAATTAAGTTAATTACTAAGCTGCTACAAATTTTTGGATATATATTGGGTTTATTTAAATTTAGATTATATTAATACTTAAGGAAATGATATGAGGAAATTGAAATGTTTTTATATTAACTTATCAATTCATTGAAATAAATGTAATATCATTAATATGAGTGATCACTAAATAAATAACACTTTCCTATGTATTTTTTTAAGTGACAATGAAGTCTAGCAAAAACTTAGGTGGTTTGTGGGGAGAGTTACCATCGCGGGAAATGCTCAAACAGGAAATAATAACACCGGATTTAATAGAAAATGTCTGGCGACAAGCCATGGATGATTCAAACAACACTGATTGTGATTACCGCATTGACAGGCAACCTGAATATTTACAGTGAGTATGATGTTTATATAATACTGATATGTCGAAATATTGAGTTAAACTAATATTGAAAACTATTAATGTTCATTATAGATTACCAATGGGAAATTTACATATATTAAACACCATAAATTTTCATCAACAATTACGGACAATGGTACAGAATTGAAATAATTTTTTTGATTCATACATTTATCAAAGTAATGATATGTTGCTTACTTAAAAGTAATGATAATAATTTTCTTTTTATAGGAAGAAGGAACTATGCTTGGAAACATGACTGTGATAGGGTCACAGGATTCAAAAGAAAAAGTACATTCGACAAATTTATTTCATTTTCTACCTCATCAACCAAAAGGGTAATTATTGCACTCTCAATTTAAATTGTCGTATAATTATTAATCGCATCATTCCAGAAATGCACTTGAAGATTATTCCAGTGTACATCATTTAATGCCGCAAACTGCACGGAATTTGTTGAGATACGCTGTGACTGTTTTATTGGCTCATATTGGATTCGAAAACTCGTCGGATATTGCTATTGAAACACTCACCGATGTCGCAGATCACTTTCTGAGACGAATGACCCTCTTGTTAAAAGCGGCGACTGAACAGAAGGATCATGGTTTTCCTGTAAGAAAAATGTATAATTTTTAAAATGTTTATACAGTTTTTATATAACAAATTTTTGTATTCACTAGGATGCTGTGGAGAGAGTGCTGCTTGAGACAGGTATGGGAGGAGTAGCAGCGCTGCATGATTATTATCAGGAGTATGTCATCAAATTTGAAGATAATATAAGGAAGCAAGTCGAGGAAACGATGGAAAGACAGAGGCAACTTGAACTTAATACTTGTAGTACTAAGTATTGGAATGCATATTAAGCCATAGATAATTTTCTAAACAATTTAAATGCTGCTTATGTCAAAATAACATTTATAAACATTTTTCAGGATGGTCCTAGATGAAGCAACTAGCAAGCTACAGTTCGAGGAACTAGACGAGTTCGGCAATGTGTATCGAGAAGTTCCGACGTTACAGTTACTCGATCCTGAAAAGGGATTTCCACCTAGTCTAGACGCCGGCTTTCAAATGCTCTACAGTCTCGAACAAGATGAGTAAGTTTTTTTTTATGACACGTATACACATTTTTCATAGAATACAGCGATAATATATTTTAATATTTTCAGATTGAATAGTATGGAAGTGGAGGAAGAGGAAGTGAATGTGAGCGATTCGCCGAATACGGGGCAACGATCCACGGATGGATCAGTAGATAAAAAAAAATGTTAAAGCATTATAAGAAATGGAGAATTACAGTATCATTTCGTTCATCCATGACATGTGTATATATTTATATAATTTATCACCTTAAAACCAAAATAAAAGATCGAATCTTGTGTTTTTTTGGATCCCACAATTTTCTGTGCCATATATCTTGGACGGGACCAATCTTTGACCTTTTGACCTAGATGTATTTTGCCAACATCTACAAGATACTTTCAGATAAGTCGGTAATATAGAACGCACATTCGCGCGGTTGTTAAAGTAGAGCGTTTAAGGTCGATAAGGTAGGACATACAGTTTATTACATGTAACGTCACAAATTCCTGTCCCCGCAAATAGCTACACACACATTCTGACATTCGTGTACCGCTATTGGTGATATATATTGCACTTTGCTCGTATGCTTTTTGTTGCATTCATTACACTTCCTGTGTTCCCTCCTTTTTCTCGTGAAGAATCACATCGTCGAGCGACTCGCTCGAGTGACTTTAGTGCCGAGCAATCAGCTTTCGCCACGCGTTCCAGGATTTTGTCGTGACGAACACAGCTGCACAGGTTTTGACAACACGTCAAAAATGGCAGATGCGCCCAGTAAAGCAGATATCGAGGAAATTTTCAAGAGACTGCGGGCCATTCCAACCAACAAGGTTTGTCCCTGATTTAAATCGATGGTAAACATACAGGAAATAATGGGACTGAACAATACGCTTGCAATTTCTCTCCTAATCATGTAACACACACACATATGAAAACGATTATATCTGATTTATAGAATACAGCTATATTACATTTCGCGGATCATTTATATATGAATATTCCGTGGAAACATTTACAATATACAAACACGTTTTCATCAACGATTATTTAATGTTTTAGCAATTTCAAAATATGTGCCAATTCTTTCCATTTTTTCAGACATGTTTCGATTGTAACGCAAAGAATCCAGCATGGTCCAGCGTGACATATGGAGTCTTCTTGTGCATCGACTGTTCGGCAGTGCATCGTAGTCTGGGAGTGCATCTTACCTTTGTCAAATCTACGCAACTTGACACAAATTGGACATGGTTGCATCTCAGAAATATGCAGCTGGGTGGTAATGCCAATGCTGTTAGTTTCCATAGCTTATAAAATCCATTTTTTTTTTGTTTTTTGTTTAAATTATGATTTGTAATTCAATCACAGCATATCTCTCATCTCTATTTTCTATATCGCTAACTTTTAGAAAAAATTCTTTGCACAACACAATTGTACTACAACTGACGCTCAGCAGAAATATAATTCACGCGCAGCTATGCTGTACAGGGAAAAATTAGGCCAAGCATCTGCCCAAGCAATGCGTCGTTATGGCACAAAGGTATAAAATTATCAGATGGATTTAATATTAGTTGTATATTTATAGTTAAGACATTATTAGAGATCTAGTGTAACTGTAAATATGATAATTATAGGTTTCCTTTTCTACACCAAAAACTAAAACAATGGTGAGCTAAGTAAATGTTCTTAAAATTCGTCTTTTTTTCTTTTTCGGAATTTTACTAACATCTGCTTATAACATTGTCCTAAAAATTGCTTTTTACTTGTCTTAGACATACATATGTATGCAATTTTTTTCATACATTCAATGTCAGTACACAGTTAGCAATATATGTAATAATTCACAAAATTGTTCGAATGTGTGTGTAACCTTGATGTTTACACAAATGTTTTCATTCTTACATTATCATTATAACAGATTCACTGTGAAGAGCTTACCTGATATATACATGTACATTTTTAATACAATGTGTTTTAATATGATAATATATATTTATTCCTATTGGTTGCTTGTATTTAATAATCTATATAGGGTATGTTTAAAATATTTGGCCATATTTTACCAGAGAATTTTATTAATCATGAAAAAGAAAACATAATAATAAATATGCAAATATAAATATATACTTCTCAAGTGATAAACTAATTCTAAATTAATAAAAACGTTTCATTATCTGAATAAATTGTCAAATATGGATATAAATATTTATTTCATTTGCTCAGATAAAAGAATGTAAGCAAATATAAGTAGACATTAAATAACGAAAGTGGTAATAGTGTCAGTATACTGTTTGTTATACTATGCACTATTGGTAATGCTTGGCCAAATATTTCACGAATATCCTATATTTAAATATTATGATTCTTTTTACAGCTGCATTTAGAGGAAAGCACAGAGATAGTACCAGAAGAAACAAACGAGCCAGATTTCTTTAAGCAGCATGAAAATTTAGATTTGTACGAAAACAAAACAGTAATTTCAACAGAAGACAAGACATTCCTCACATCTAATACTGTGCCAAACATTGATAGTACAGAAAAAAATGCATCAGAAATTGTTTCCAATTCCTTGGGACCTTCCGTAAAACTTTTCGATTCTGTCTCAAATGTACAAACTGCAAGGAAACCTACTATAGGTTGCAGGACTGCACAATCCAAACGCCCTGGTGGTGTAAGTTCATGCATTTATAGTGAAATAATAATATAACGATAAATCCCAATTATTATCGTTATTATTTCTTTAATTTAATTATAGTTGGGAAAGAAAGCTGGAAGCTTAGGAGCTCAGAGAGTCAAGACCAATTTTGACGAATTGGAGAAGAGCGTTGCAGAGGCACGTAAACAAGCACAAGAGAAGGATAAGGAAGTGACAAAAGAAGAGCAGGAGGAGCTCGCCACACGTCTAGCCCAACGGTATGAACAAAATTTGACTCAACAAGCCAAGAAAGTGGAAGAGAGAGCTAAGCAGTTTGATCCATCAAAAGCAACGCAAGCAGAACGGCTTGGAATGGGATTTAATGCGCGAAGGTACTAACTATGTGTTCTCATCCTGAAAAATTTATTTAACGCGTGACTTTATCTTTATATAAAAGTCCTTTCTTTCTTGTTAGTGGCGCGAGTCATTCTGCACTTGGCGACATGAAGACAATAACGCAAGAGTCTAAAATCATAACTTCAACGCCAGAAGTACTATCAGCAGAGACGGATCTTTTTTTTACTTTAGACGAGTTTTACTCAGTTTATGCTAACAGCAAACCGTCTTCGCGCGGTGATGAGATTGTGGTCGTGGCAGAACCGGAACCGCCTAAACGACTAGCCCCCATGAGTCGTATCGCAAACGCCAAGAGCGACGCGAAGCCTTCATCTATCATCGAGGGAGAGGCTCAAAAAAAGTTTGGTAGCGCCAAGGCCATTAGCTCGGACCAATACTTTCAAGACAGTACTTCCGACAATGTGGTGAGTGTAAACTATATTTCAATGTATTTTTTGTAAAATTATGTTTTACTGACTCTAGAATATAGTGCTCCTTTTTAATAATTCTTCAGTATGCATGTACCTTTTAAATTTGTAGTGGGAACGTAAGAATAATTTACGTCGCTTCGAAGGCTCGTCCAGCATTTCGTCGGCTGATTATTTCGGCATTGAAAGTTCGATGCCGACTTCGCCCACCTCTTCGTTGTCTATGCGTCTGACCGCGGGGAGAGCCGGTGTCGTAGATCTCGACGATGTGCGAGAGAGCGTGCGTCAAGGTGTAAACAAAGTCGCCGGACGACTCAGCTCGCTCGCAAACGCGGCGGTTTCCTCTATACAAGATCGTTATGGACTTTAAATGAAATCTTTTTGCGTCTCACGAAAATTGTTACAATACTTATTATCCGGACCCAGTCTTGTCCATTGTTCAGAACTGTAAATAAAAGCTTATAATTGAGCTTTTGTGTAACTTATTCTATGGATGTTATTGCGCACGCAGATACTCTTGTATGAAACGATCAAAAACCAATGCGCAATGCGAGAGTTACACAGGTTCAAGAGCAAAAATATAAATGCAAAATGTATTTTATAAATATACGTCCGCTCATCTTTATCAAAAGAGCCAAAGTATTGTGTAATACATTGCATAACAAATATCACTATATCAAAAGTCAAGGTACACCGACGAAAGTAAAATATACTTATATAACAATAATTTAGGTAAAACATTAGATCTTTCTCACTAAAATCTAAAATAGTCATAGATCTATACTCGGCGGAAAGTCCTGGCAACGCAAAACCAATTGCGAACATGGTTTGCCGTGGAGAAAGCACACGAGTATCACTGTCATATTGTCACAACCGGTACCCATAAGGGCGTCCGGAGCCAAGCAACAGTTGAGAAGCTCTTCGCAGATCTCCTCGGGACGTATTGTGACGTTGCGATGAGACTCTGCGTCGCCGAGTTTCGTCTGAGCTAGCCGCGTTCTCACGAATCTAACGACCTCTTCGCTGGTCATCACGTCCCAGATACCATCGCACGCCAGAACAACGAACTCCCATTCCTCGTTTATAGGAAATTGTTGCACCTCAGGGAAAGCTGCGAGAAATTTGTAAAGTTGTTAACATAAAATATGCGCGAATATATATTGAAAGTTGCATCATAGCGTCTCTAGCCATTTATATATCGATGTCCTGTTATTATTACCAGTCACGATCTGTTCCTGTGGTGATTTATGATCATTTCGCTTAAATATGAAATCCCCAAGCGCGCGGGACAATGCCAGATTGCCGTTCACCCTTTTATACTCGACGAAACCACCCGCAGCTTCGATTCGCTTGCGCTCGTCCTTCAATGTGGGTTTATGATCTCGACTAAGTGGCACCGTCCTGCCACTGATACACGCTACCGCTCTGCTGTCACCCGCGTTAGCCTAGAAAGCTTTTCCATTCAGGTCAGGTATTCGAATGTACGAAGATATCGCCTTCAAAATAACGAACGACTTACACTATACAAAATGTTGTCCTTGATAAGTAGTGCGATGACAGTGGTCCCAGCATGTTCATCTCTGAGGGTCACGTTATTCTGCATCGCTTTGTCTAATTCCAGGAAACCTTGCTTTATACCTTCCACAATATCGCCCGCTTTGTACTCGCTTCTTTTAATTATATATTCATGAAGATGTTTTCCAGCATGCTGCGCCATGGTTGCACCTATAAAAGTATACAAATATTTTTATGTAAAGATCAGATTTTATGGATATATACACCGATTATTTGAAAAAAAAGTTTGTTTCATTGCTCTGTGTTGCGCGATAAATCTGTTTATTCTGTACTAGAAAGTGTGTGCTTACATACCTCCATGCCCATCATAGACGGCGAAGAACGTGGTGCCCGGATCACCTGGCAAGGAGAGTATGTGCACATGCGAATCTTCCATCTTGATACGCCATCCTTGCATGCAGGAGCTACCGACACGATAGTTGTTGTCTCGACAACAGGCCGACTTTTTCTTCGTCACCGGCTCGCTGAGCGTCTGCCCCATTCTCTCCCCTTAATCGATATCGTTCGCGAATAACGCGAGTTTTAATACTTTAATATCTCATACCATGACAACGGAGAGTTAAGTAACTTTGAAATTAAATACAAATCCACGCTATACGTGATACTCTTGTTTGGATTATCCGTTTGCAGAATTTTGTGCCAAGACTCGTGATAATGCGTTGTCATTGATTTAAGCGATCTTCACTTCACTCTGATTTAATAATAGTTTCACATATATTTAACTCCCGGCCGTCAACTCCGTCCTGTCCCATCCGGACATGGGAAAACAACCCGCGTTGCGAGCGAGCAAACGTCGACCGGAGATGAACAGCTGATCTGGATTGATGACGTGACGTAACTCGACTGCTTATATACACCGACGTCATCTACACCCAATGATGTCACTTCTCCGGTTTTGTAATTATATAATATATAGTAATGCGCAATATCTAATGTATTTACATTTTATAACATATATAATTTGTACGGCGTACGTACATTGCGTAATATTACTTTATTAGCACTTTTTTTAAATTTTGAGATCAATCTTATCCGTGGGGTAAAGCAACATTTAGTTGACCAATCAGTACAAAACTAGCAAAGATTTCTTTGTTCTGATTGGTCAATTACGCTTACGGGTAGGGTTTTTTGAACGCACCTCAGGCGAACGGAGGGGATACTCAGGTGGCAATTCTGCTATGTCATAGATATAGTATATATTCTATGGTCTTCGCCTTCTGTTTGTTTACGCGACTGTCAGTGTGACACAATTTCAAGGAACAGTGCGTTGAATGTTAAAACAGAAACACACAAGGTTATACAATAATAAATGAGAAAGATATTGGATTTTCTTCTATCCAATACACTTTTATCGACGACGAAACGCGAATATAACGTTCAAAGTGCCCGATTTAACATAAACCGTACATGGACTTATGAGATTAATAATAATTTAGAAGTACACAATGTATTCCATATTATCTAGATTATAAAACTTCATAAAAAAACGGTTTGCGACTTTAAATAAATCAATTTTTCTAGGTTATGAGAGAGAAATAGCTATCGCAACACGTGCGCTTGAGCTGATATTATTCTTGAGACGAATTAAACTCGTTTCGCAACAATTTTCGTACATTTATCTTATTGTGGAATAGGCGAAAAGAGATAGAGACGTATCGACTGAATCGGATTTTATATTTTCAAGGAGAAAAAAAAATATATAGAGAGAGAATTTCAAAGAATGGCGGGAATTATCTGCGCATCGATTTCAAGTTCGCGATTGCATTTGAAAGGTACAGACAAAAAGCATTAATCGTTTTTGTATACATCGGAGTAACGAACGATATTACCCACGCTTTTGCATGATTTTTTTTATTTTTAAAGGGCTCGCGCGTTTATTCTCATCCAAAAGCATGGACGAGGTCGGCGAGAGTCCGAGATTGCGTGAATTCCGAAAAAAATTGCGCGAACGCACCCCCATAGGTAAGATTATCGTACGCAGTTACGTATTAATATAAAAAGAGAGAGATGCTCTCTCTTGAATGCTCAACATTTCTGCAAGAACTAAAAAAATCGAACTGTAAACATGACAGAGAATTTAGAAGAATTGGAAGAAGGTAAGCACCCTTATCAAGAGAAAGAACCTTTGGAACCGTTCCCGAACAATACGAATCCGGAAACGGGCGAGATCGGGGGTCCTCGCGGACCAGAACCGACTCGTTACGGCGACTGGGAGAGAAAGGGTCGTGTGACGGACTTTTGAACCCTCTGTCATCTTAGAAGAAAATCTAAATCGTTTGTTAATAATTAGAAACTATCTCAATAAATTAAATGTCTACATTATGATACATCGAGTTAAAGCGCGATGCATCATAAAAAAGAAATCTCTACTTTGTAGAATAAAAATTATAAATATAAATTGTAAAGTTCATATATTGCGAAAAATGAGATTGTTTTATCGCGATCGCCCAGATCTCGGTCGCGCTAGTTTCTCTAAACAAAATCAGAATCGGTGACTTAGATTTATTGTATAATTCTCTAATTTATCAAAAACACGAAATTCGTCGAAGCGCAAAACACTATGATTTAATGCACAATTCTATCATGCCTAATTAGATTAATTAACCGTTAAAAACTCGATCGTTTTCATTCTCGGTTGGTTCTTTCGGGCTCTGTCGAATCCTGATTTAACCGACAACAAGAAAAGGCATCACAGTATGCATCTAAAAAAGTTAGTAACTAATATATCATTGACTCTCAATCGGAAATTTTATAGAAAAAAATTCATAGGAATACAAGAGTATTTGCTCCATACATCTTAGCGACAGTGTTTTATTAACAAAATTGAAAATCATCTTGATGGTTTCGCGTCAATGGATGGCCGTGTGTGAATATTTATAGAACGTTTGCATAATGATTTGCATAAATGGATTGAATCTACAGATGATAAGAAATTGCAGGCAATTTTTCACAAGTATGAGCTAAGTTTGCTTTAGACTATTTTACATTTTTGAAATAGATTTCTGCGAATATAATTATTTTCGAATTTTATATCATTTTTTCACTCATTATTTATCAAAGTTTCTTTTGTATAGAAATATGTAAAGATTAAATATAAATATAATGTGGTTAGGTACTTTACTATTAAAAATGAAGAAGAATTTAAGTGATAAAATCTCGGAAAATGTCCAAGAGTCGCCGCGAATTAAGCAGTTTCATGAAAAACTCAAACTGCAGCCTATACCAAGTACATATATATATATAATTAAAATTAATTGATAAAATAATTAATTTTCACAGATATCAGCACGAATTCTTTTCATAAAATGTAAGAGCTTTTCTATAAAAAATTAATTGTGTTCAGGACTTTGTAGTTTCGTAACGTGACTTTTTCTTGGTTTAATATGTAGAAATAAAACCGCGGGAACGATTTGTCGACTTGGTATTAGTGGAAACTGATCCCAGAACTGGAGAGTTAATAACGAATAGCGAGAAGAATCCTACTAAATGGGGAGATTGGCAGAACGGTGGCAGAGTCAGTGATTTTTAAAAAGACACCGCTTACATTTTTTTATAAACTATATATATATATATATATGTGAAGAACTGGAAAAAAAGAATCCTCTTACTTATATATATAATACGAGCTATATTTATCTCTAACTATTTATGGAAAATAAATTCAGATTTAATTTTTTCAACGCAAATGAAACAACATAAATTAATATTGTTCTTGGATGTAAGAAAATATAAAATTGATGTGTATTATACACATATAAGAAAGTATCTATGTAAAACGAAGAATATTTTATCGGCATGGTAATAAGTTACATTATACAAAAGTATTTTTTCTCTTAGATGGTGTTCTATATTAGATATATTATTAATTTCAAATCATTTTCTTGTAAAAAGTTACTGGCACTATAGTAATTTACATAGACAAGCATCATTATGCAGTCATTATAATTATCGGTACATTATGTGTACGAAAATATATGATACTTCATGTGTCTCAAGTACTAAATAATATATATATACTACAGGATAACAAACACGTTTTATACATTAAACCAATTAAATTTCTCGTTAGTAATGAGTTAATGAGTAATGAATGTAAAAATCAAAGTTTGTGTAAAAGTGTGAGGCGTTATAACCGAATTTAAAAGTAATCTTAATGCTTTCGTTAGTAAAATGTATCCCAATGTCAATAGCAGCGTAAATTTATTTAGCCAAGACATATATAATAAGTTCAGGACTTCAATATTAAGCCGTTCGCGTGTAGAAAAAGAGAGCGTAGTTAATCCTACAAATATAATATCGTATTAAGAAACATATGTACAGAATACTGTAGTAAAAATCTCGTTTTGTATTTGCCCCAGCATATACGTTTTGAAAATTCTTTTCCAATCGTATCAAGAAAAATTTTTCCTAAAAAATCATCTACTATGAGGTATTATATTGTTGCATACAAGATGAAAAGGAGATTCTGTCCTTTTTTTACTATTATATATAGATAATAGTAAATAAATCATCTGATTAATTTCACTAAGTCCTTTCTCGATATCCTCCAACAATATTAAAGCAGTATTAATAAAAGAGCGCGACATACGTATCACCTCAATGTTTCGCAGAGATTAATGTAGTTTCTATATACATATATAACTTCCCACACTATATAGGCATTTTCGCGCGCGCACGATGAAGAGTTTCAATTTTTTTTTTGTATTTCTTGATACAAGAATATGTATTATTTGCGCTATACAGAAAGTATAAAATTTTGTTCGAAAAGTAAAAATGAAAATTAGCAGACGTATTTACATAATGATTGTTTTCTACATACTATATGTTTTTTGTTCTTTTATGTATGTACATAATCGTATATCTAAGCAATATACGATCAAAAGTTTTTAGAGAACATAATTTTTTTTAACAAAAATTATAGATATAATTAAAAAAAAAAAAAAATTTATCTTTCTCTAATTATAGGAATTCCGAATTAAATACTTAAAATAGTTCTTGAGATTTCCAGAATATATATCTTTTATCTTAAAATTTCAAATAAACATAGATACTCACATAAACTCAGACACATATATAATAAAATTAAGAAAAATTAGGTATTAATATATAGGACAAGAAACAAATTCTCTAAACATAAATATTGTAACATTCAAATGATTGAATATCGTCAGTCTTTCGTCTAGCGTCAACGGATCTGTATAGTGTAGGTTGTATTACGCGTCAAAAATTATAAATCTTAACAATTTATAAACTATAAAGTTTTATTGATGGCTAACACATCCCGCATCATCATGTTTCTGAGTGTCCACAAGGCGTTCACTACATTCCCGTGATTGCCAACGCCATTGCCCAACCATTCTGCAGGTAGCTTCGTGATATCGGGTATTTGCGTGTTATCCGGATTAGCATTCATCTGCTTGTCCCAATTTGATATGTAACGATTCTCCACGTTTAATCCTTCAATATATCTATACGTGAAAAACAAAAAAAAACAATATTTTTTGATATGTCGAAAGGGATTGCAAAATATGTATTTAATGTGCTTAAAAGCTTACCTCAAATAGGCATCCGAATGTAATACGCGACTCGGTCTCGGTGGTACCGCGACAAACATTGGTTCTGGTTGCTTAGTAGCAGGTAAGCTGCTCGTTTGAGTCGCGGCCGCTGAAGTTTCTGCGAAACATTTTTTTTTTTTTTAACACGTGAAAAACAAAAAAAAAACAATATTTTTTGATATGTCGAAAGGGATTGCAAAATATGTATTTAATGTGCTTAAAAGCTTACCTCAAATAGGCATCCGAATGTAATACGCGACTCGGTCTCGGTGGTACCGCGACAAACATTGGTTCTGGTTGCTTAGTAGCAGGTAAGCTGCTCGTTTGAGTCGCGGCCGCTGAAGTTTCTGCGAAACATTTTTTTTTTTTTTAACATATCGTATGTAAAATTTGGCACGTAATTTTATTGTAATATGTGATATAATTTTACCTGTTTCCATAGGTGGCAATATCGTGGGTCCTTTCGAAGCCATATAATTTCTGCAAGAGCCCACGTATTAATGTAGTTCACATAACGTAATGTATCAAGACATGAAGAAAAAAAGGAAATAATTTCTATACCTGCTTCTTTCGGAAGGTGGTATTATACGACCGTGCGATTTGAGAATGTGCACTTCTTTGACATGTCTCGCGAGTCTTTGTACACTCGGGAAAGGCGGAACGGATTTCTTTGTTCGGCCGCAACCGCGCCATTGGCATTGATACTCTACGTCTGCAATATTCACGTTAATAATTTAAATTTTCTATTCACAATTGTGACCGCAATTGCAATTCGTCTCGGATCGTACTCACCGCTAGGAGCGTTCACGAACGATGATTGCACATGACCGTTCTGCTCCGCGATGCAATGATCGATGCAGTCAGTCATATCCTCGAACTGCCAATCGCAATTGTCCCAACAACACTCGTACACTACGTCCTGCGTAGCATTCGTGCTTATCGTGGTCGTTCCCTTCAATTGGCCGCCGTCCTCGTTCATCTTGATCGCACGTTCCTCCCAGGCTTGCTTTTCCCCTGCCGGTAGCTTCCTCCACTGAAACGAGAATTGTTTTACACATTTTACGCATGATCAGTTCTGTCACGTTGCTTGTGATTTGTGAAAGGACACAATTAGCAAAATCATTTTTCTAATATTTTGAAAATGATTCGACAAACTGTTTTAGATCACGGCTACTCTTTTCTATTCATAAGAGAATAAAATACAAATAAAATTTATATACATCGAGAATAATGACTACCACATAAATTACGGACGATATAAATCACACAATATAGAATTTATATAAAAGTTTATATGTATATTGCATATATATACATACATACTACTGTATTGTACTACTTATGGAAGAATATAAAAAATGCATTATTATGCATTTACAGTTTGCTATGCACAGGATAACTATACTTGTAGGAATAGAGTAGCCGCTGAGATGTAATATCTCATTTTTTTGGATAAAGGATCAAGTATGCTGAATAATGTTTAATGAGTAACATGTATACAAAGCGAGGAAAATTCTTTACACAACCAATCATGGAGTTCTTACATTCACAATTCCGTTTTGCTTTATTAAACAAATGTCAATGTTTTTAAACGAATTTGACGCCCAAATCGAGAGCGTATGATTGTGTATAAGAAAATTTATTCCGCATACATTCCTCCATCAGATTCATTTATAATAAACAGTAAAAAATCAAGAGTAAAAAAGAAATAAATACCTCGTTGCCAACAATTCTGCTAATCTCTCCGAAGGACGATTCAGGATTGTTTTGTGTAATCTGCGTTCGCATTTTACTCGAATATAAAATATAGCCCGTAACTAATTTCTTACCCGCCGTTTTCTAAACAGAAGAAGAAACACAAATTATAATGTCACTGTTCTCATGTGTGTATGTGTGTGTGTGTGTGCGTGTGTAAAAAACATATTGTCTTTAATATCTTTCTTTTTAGAGCAGTCACATCAAATTGTCGATCTATTGTCAAGGCAAGTGATATCTCAAACGGTGCAAAAAAAAGAAATGAAAGGAGAGGTATGTATATGCTGGCATATTTCTTTAAATAAAAAGAAAGTGAAATAAATAAATAGAATATGACGTGTGACGATAGTTGATAAAAGTGAGAGAAAAAAAAGAAAAAAAATAAGTGGTCACGGTAAAGCCTACCTTCTTAGTCGACACAGGTGTTTGAGTATTGGAGAGCACCGGTTGAGCTTCCGTAGATCCAACGGATGGTGGACCACCAGCATCCATGCTGTCTTCCCCAACTCCTACTCCCACTCCCACTCCTAATCCTACCCCCATGCTTAGTACATCGGGTTCCAGCTTCGGTAACAATGGTGACGCTTCCTACACCATTTAGGCTTATGTTACCTTCGTTTCTCATCCGTTACTACCGATTGCGAGATATATTTTCGTGCCTTTTGTCTTTTTCTCCAAAGATAGAAGTTAATTTATAATAAGAGTCGTCATCCTTTTTCGCGCTCGTCTCCAAGAAAAATTATCGCGAAGTGTTTTCCCACTCTTAATGTATATATAATTTTTCTCTAATATCTAATCTCTAATTATCGAATATGTAAAATCAATACCCATTTTTTAATTTAATACCGCTACACATATATTGCATATATGCATATGAAATACAATATGTGTACATTCGATTTTTTTTTTATATAAACAGATTAGTTGATATATATATTCTAAAGCGAATTCTTCATTCTTACATTAGTTGGGTTAGAATGACATGGAAGCAAGATTTCTCGGTGGTGCTTTATGCTTTTTGTAACATATTTAGCAATATAAAACCCAACAGGTGCTCTGATTCAATTGTCGAATACATATAATCGCTCGATCACACAAACACTAACACATAGTTGCACATATAAACGAAACGAAAGGAAAAATGAATATGCCGGCATAGATCGAAAATGCATGCGTGTAAATGCATTCTTGTTGATGTAACAAAATATTCATATCACACGCAACCAATTTACAGATTCAAAGGAAAAGACATGTAATATGTTTCTCCTTTTTTTCTTGTATATGTATATAATAGCAAACTATTAGCAAAATTAGATACTTTAGTTAGCTTGCGTGTGATCTTGAAGGAACGTGCGGCTGTATATATTGTTCGTTATTGAAAATAAGAGATATAAGATTTCTGAATTATAGCAATTACCATTTCAAATTGTGCCGAGCTGGGCGTGACGGACTTGACTTGATTTTGCGTCTGAGCCACATCGCTCGAAACCTATAACACACACAGGACATGCAAAGCGATAAATTCATTTCAGTTAGTCGCGTAGAACAAATTGTAGAATATATCCTACTAATTTTACTATAGAGCCAAATAGAGATTACATTTATGCATATTTGTTAGTTTATATATGTATATAAAATTCTTATAGCATACTTTGGCAGGATTGATAGGCCTCCGGAAAAAGTAGATCTCATCCTCAGTCACCGCCGATGTATGATTAAACTTCTTTAAACCTTCCTGACTAAGCTTTCTCATCAAGCTTTTGCTTTCGTCGTACAATGATTCGCAGATGTATATGTCATCTTCTGGTATTTCCGTCGGTCTACCTGTATAATCGTGATAATATATATAGTAAACTCTTTTATCAATCCCGTTCGTGAACATCAAATAGTGGATATACTTACTACATATGTACTCTCCGTAATCGAGGACGGCACATTTGCCAACAATAGCTACAATAGGATGAGTGCCGTCTACAGTAGATAGAAACAATTCTTGCTTATAAAATAATTTCGTAGGTGTATGTGGCACTTCTGTAGGCATTAATAACCA